CTTGAAAGGCCACAAAAAGGGAAAAAAATTAAAAAAGAATGATGTCTCAATGCTCTTGTGATTTATGATTTAGTTTTCTCAGTCTATACTCCTATAAAAGGCATCCCTAGAACTGCTATCATACATAACATGGAGGGTGGATTCTTTTGTAACCCAGTTATCAGGGCTGGAGAAACGGCTGAGTTAGAACTGCCTGCTCTTCCAGAGGACCTGGGTCCAGTTAGCACTACTACATGGCAGCTCACATCTGTCTGTAACTCCAGTTCCAAGGGATTTGACACCCTCACACCGATGCACATGAAATGCATTTAAACAAATTTTTAAAAGAGCCAAAATAAGGAGACACCAATATCACATATTTGCTCTTTGATCGATATTTGAGTGTGGCAAGGCTTTGATTTGAGAGGCTCACACCCATACCATCACACCACACCATCACACCACACTGTCACACCTACACCAACACGTGCCCTGCTCTTTCCCTAGAACCTTTGCGTAAATCTGCTAAAGTCTAATAAACTCCAGCTGGTTCACACTGGTTTGTCTTCAAACTCTTTCCTGTGTTAATGACTTTTATTTAATTTGCATTGGAATTTTGCTGCATTTATGTCTGTGTGAGGGTGTCAGAATTTTGAGTTACAGACAGGTGGGAGCTGCCATATGGGTGCTGGGAATTGAACCTGGGGTCCTCTGGAAGAATATCCAGTGTTCTCAACTGCTGAGCCATTGCTCTAACCCCTCAAGAATCTTGACTTTAGCCGGGTGGTGAAGGAACATGTGTTTGATTCCAGCAGAGGTAGGTGGATCCCAGTTGAGGCCAGCCTGGTTTACAGAGTTCCAGGACAGCCTGTCTTGAAAAAGGAAAACCAAAACCAAGCCAAACCAATCAACCAACCCCTCCCCCCAAACAAACAAAAACCCACCAGAAAACCAAAACCAAACCAAACGAAAAATAGAGCCAAACTTAACTTCAACCAGGGCTAAGGCTCCATTAGAGTGCTCCAGGCTGCTGCAGGCAGTACACAGGCCTGTGTCTCCAGCCCACCCCACTGTCAAGGATGTGAATGATGGAGAACGTGAACGGGTAAGTAAGGGTGTCTTATGTACGGGTAAGTAAGGGAGTCATGCCGTTGCCTTCGAAGGAAGTCTGGAAACTAGACTCCTGGTGACCAGAGGGATCTCTTTAGATGAGACCAACCACCATGCAGGCCTGAAGGAAGCAACCCCAGACTATGTGCACACGACACTAAGCATGGGTTTCCAAAAGGACACACGTAACACTTGCCCTTTATCTGCAAGGCTAGGAGTCACCGGGACACAAAATCAGACGCAATGTAAAGTTTTAAGAAAGCCAATCAGGCCACTGTCCACCCAGACACCTGATGTTCAGAGACTGAAACATTTTCATCATCTAACACAGGGCCCTGACGCCTGAACTATGCAGACCAGGCCGGCCTCTGCCTTCAATGCTGTGATTAAAAGTGTGGCCCCTGTGCTCACATTTGAAATGTGAACTTGCAGGTGAAGTTGTTTATTGGTGCCAGAGTCTAGGGCCTCCCTAGACTCTCAAGTAGTGTAACCACTAGGATCATCACATTGTTTACAGCAGGGTTCCTTAAAGAGCTGTACACTGAATGACTGACGGGGTTGGAGGTAGGGGGTGGGCCTTAGAGCTAGAGGAACCAGAGTTTCAGGACAAAGAAAGGTACTTAGCAAGCCTGCAGCACACATACAGAAAATTAGATTTTTATACCGTTCTGAAAGCAAAACAGAAAAGCCACCAGAGTAGGACGCTGGACCACAAGGCTGTTCAGCGCCAGGTTCACACTGCCTCATAGAACCAGTCTCCCAAGTGTGGCTGCAGTCCTGTGTTCCACCCGAACTTCTCTGTACTCAGCTGGACACGTGGCTGGCACTTCTGAGCTGGTTCACACTCCCCATGAGGCGCAGGTATAACCATTACCTTCTCTGAGCATTAATGGTTTTTGCAAGTGGGGTATAGTATAAGCTGTGATCTCAGCAATTGGGTGGCTGAGTAACCGTGACTTACTTTGGGAGTATGCGTGTGGTGGCTCAGGCAGGACTGTTTTGTTAAAACCAATCTAGAGAGAAAAAGGCAGAGAGATTCCTTTCAAGAAGGAATCGCACATGGAATCAATGTATGTGTCCGCCACACTGTGGTTACAAGAAAAGCCACAACAGGATGCATTGGCTGACATGACTATTGGGCTTTCCCTGTATAGAGTGGATTTATCTGTTTTTCCACACATCAGATGGCACGAGAAGCTTGGTGATCTTCAAAACCTACTGGTTACGAATGAAAATACTTAAATGTCACAGGGGAAATGCAGGACTGAGACGGCACAAGCTAGCCCAAACTACAGTCTGAGGCCACAGGGGTACTTCTTTTGAAAGAACCCATTACTTTAGCCAGGTATGGTGGTGCACACCTCTAATCAATCCCAGTCCTCTGGAGGTGGAGACAAAGACAAGCAGATCTCTGAGTTTGAGGCCAGCCTGATCTACACAGAGAAATTCTCTAAAAAACAAGACAAACAAAACAATAAAAACCCCCACTTTGTGGTTGCATGTAACTATTCCCAGTACTCAGGGAGTCAACAGGGTTAGGGACTCACAAAGTCCTCCACTACTCTGTCAGTTGGAGGCTACACTTAACACGATCTCAAACAACAAAACAAACAACAATCAAACAAAAAAGTGTACCCCCACCCAAACAAACAAAAAGCAACCCAACTAATCCAAAACAAATCAACCAATACCAGACTATTTGGTTTAGTAATGAAAGTCAATGAAAACCAAAACTATGAGAAGAGTCAAGTAGTTCCATGATACTCCAAGAGCTGTGCTTCCCCAGGGCCCCTTCACGAGGTCATGGTGTCCAGGGTGCAGTGTACCACACACGCCACCCTGCAAACAAAGGTATAAGGGCATCATAGACATTCTCCATATCTGTGGTTTCTACAAATCATGAAGTAAAACTCCTTCTAGAACATCTTGAACAGAATTAGTTCCAAACAGAAAGTCAAGGCAAGAAGTGTAGGACTACATTTATTTCACAGACACTCCACACTGAACAGTGGAGAGATCTCAAAACAGGATCTGGTCCTTTGCGGCAGAATTGAGGCAATGTGCTCAGTAAAGGACATTCAATAATATGATGATTCAGGACTAAAGAAAAAAGACACAAGAGTTCCAAGGGCTTAAATATATTTTATATTGATAATCTGTGTCTTTCTACCCTAAAATAATACATAATCATTGGTTACATACAGGATGAGGTGAGGTAATTGTGAAATATCTGGTAAAAATAATTAATATACAATATTCTACATGAGATGGAATCTTACGAACCGCTAGGACTTCTGAAAGGTATGTCCATCTTCTAAATTAAACTGCCCTGAAAAGATTTATAGCTGTTCCCTAAAACCACATTGAAAATGATTCTCCCAGAATTTGTGCAGAAAAGGCTAAGTACATAATTGGCAGTTACTCTTTCTCACATCCAAAGTTATACATTCACACAAAACCAGTATCTCCATGTTTAGCATAAAAAGCAAAAAATACTGCACCCCAGATGTTAAGAAAAATTCTGAATAATGGTTATGTTAATTCAACAACCAAAGAAATTCAAGTGGCCAACAGTCTTCAAATCGCTTTATTGAATGAAATGTGTGAGTTATGTGCAGATGCGTCTGAAACAGCTGGAAAACGGACTTCGGAAACTTCCCAACAACCAATTAAAAGGAGAAAAACCCCTACTAGACTTGACTTCTAGTCTAATCAGAAGCCCAGTGAAAGACTTCCCTTCCAAACATTTCCATCACAGAGACCAACGAAAACCGGAGCTGGTAGTGTCTCAAGTTCCCGAGGAGAAGCAACGGTTTTCAGACATGTAGGGTGACTTCTGTTTTTGGTACATTTGTGTGAACATGGACTTCACAGTTCTTTAGAACACCCGAGGAGTTCAAGTCTGTATGCTTATCGCGAAGAAACAGAGAGGAAAGGACTCGATGGTGGAGAGGAGAGCTCACAGGGAAGAGGACGAGCTAGACATGATTAGGGTAGTCTAGTTAGAAATTTATCAGAAGCTGTGCACCTTTTTAAAGGTCCTAGATTTACATTCCAAGAAACTGCCCCCATCCCCAGACTCACTGTCCCTTCCTGGAGCTAGTGTGGCAAACTGAGACAGACAAACAAAAAGCACCCACCCTCCAAACCCTAACAACCCAAGAAGGCTCTGTTTTTTCCTTTTACAGACAGGATTAATAATATAGGCATATAGGTGACATGATTCAATTAAAAGACTGTACTTTTTATGCCAGGGTTAAAAAAAAAAAAAAAAAAAAGGAAAAGAAAAACCCAATAAATAAATAAAAGGTACTAAAATTAGCGTTAAGAATTTGGTTGACAAAATCTGTCTAAGCAAACCACAAATACATAAATAACGCAAAATATGATTGAGAATGTGAGATTTTAAAAGACAAGACAACATAATTCAGGTTAACTTTGCTAAACAGTGAATAAATGAAATTCATCTACACCTGAATGAACAAGTTAACAATCAAAAATTTTAAACAACCACAAAAATAAAAACTTCCAACAAACACAAGTAAGCTTTGTTTAAACGGCACAGAGATGCCTGCAGCAGAGCCCGCCTTTACCGGTGTCTTCTGATGAGTTAGACAGGCGGGGCTCCGTGGGAGCCATACCTGGCTAGCACCCCCAGGTCCCACTGTAGATAGAGCTTTGCACATAGGAGGGACACGTATAAGGGTGAGCAGTCAGACAGACACCATTCAAAAGCTACTCTGTCCTGTAACCATTGAATAATGTTGGAAAAGCTTTGGGCTTTGTATTTTATTTTTATTTATTTTTTTAATTTTATTTTTTTAAGTTTTACTCCTTGTATTTAATTTTTTTTTTTTTAAATGACAAGGTCACTGAAACTCATGCACGCTGCAAAAAACCTCATGCAGTAGTTAGGTAAACCATCCAAGCAGTTTTTATTCATTAATATTCATAAATACACACAGCAGCTTCATTAGAGATTTCAATTTTCCTCTTCAGTTTGAATGTGGAGTATTAGGAGAGCCTTTTGCATGTCAGGGTACAGGAAGCAGAGATCACCCTGCACTGCTACCTACATTTACCTGCTAGAAGTAAAAATTAGTTAAGTGGAAATGATTATCATAGATATTTTCTCTCTTCCTTTTGAATGTACACAATGTAACAAGAGTGACAGACCTGAAATTACAATCACCAAACAAACCCAGGGTAGCTGTTGTCCACTTTCATTGGCAAATACAGCACAGAGGACACTGTCTGCGAGTGGGGAGGTCATCAAAGAGGAGGTGGTGGAGGCTCATTTCCTTTATTACTCTCTTTTAAATTTAGGTTTTCTAAAGCAACATCTAAAGGCATAATATCTACACAGCCCATAGCACCAAAATCTGCCATCTCCCCTCGTTCATCCTCATCTGAGGACGAGCTCTCTTCCCGCACTAACGTGGACAGGAGGAGCTCCTGAACAAACAGGCTGCGGTCCGCACGCTCACTTTCCATGGACTGCCGTTCTGCTTCAGACATTTTGGGATCATTCAACCTGTACAGGTAAGAAAGAAAAGACTGTATTGGTAAACATTCAAGGGTTAATGCACCGCAAGGCCAAGATGTACAGTCTGCATGCAACAAGCAAACGTGGTTGGTGACATCAGTGATGTGCAGATAAATCCCCACACTGTGGCAGTCACATTCCTGGGGTGCAAATTGTGTTCGGTCGATTCAAAGAGATGAAGAAAAACAAACAAGCAAACACAAACAAAAACCATTTTGTCTGGGTAGACAGCACAGACTACCTCTGGAGAAAAGCCTGTGGAAACCTCTCTGAAAACAAATAAGCAAAGCCGCCTCTGACAGGCCCTATGCTTGGGAGGAGGTGTTGCCCCCAATCAGAGTTTTACCCCTGGGAGTAAAGTGAACAGCAGTGGCCCTGCTCACAGATCCAATCCACAGTGACCAGAATGTGTAGCTGAAAAACTGAGTCCTAAGTCCACTCAGACTTTTCTCTTTCCCATATTTCTGTTCTGAAATAGAGGTATGCACAAAAACTCAAGAAGGTACACACCATGCCCTTTCCTTTCTTCGTCCCCACATTTTTCTGTCTCACCCTGTAGACCAGGCTGGCCTTGAACTCAGAGATCTGCCTGCCGCTGCCTCTATAGAGTGCTGGGATCAATGGTGTGCACTACCACACCACGCCCAGCTCTTGTTTGATGCACTATCTTGCAGTACCTACAGGCTGGCTTTGAACTCATTCTCCTCTGGCTTCAGCCTCCTGAGTGTTGGGCTTACAGACATGCACCTCCATGTCTGGCTGGAAGATGTTTTCCTGGCAAGATATTCCATCTACAGAACAGCCAACTCTCAGGGAAGACACACACTGGCAGGTATGTTTCAGGTGATGCCTAGACCCCAAAGGCACCACTATTGTCCAGTCTCTGTAGGAAGGCACAATGGCAGCAGGCACTCACTCAACTTAGGAAGGCCACTGCAAAGACAAATACCTCTGAAACAATGCCTCCTCAAACCCACAATAAAGGACAACGATCGGCATTTTTAATAATTCTCTCATAAATGGCAGGATTCCTGGGAGGGATACTGAAGTTTGATATAGGAAGTGACCTGTCTAAGGGCTAAATGAATTAAGTAGCAAAGTTGGAGCTCTAAACCAAGGGTCCCCAACCACTTTTCAATCTCTGCCTATACAGTATTCCTACCTACGCAGGGGAACTACTGCACAGGATTTAAGTGTGAGATCAAAGAATAAGTAGAAGTTTCTTCTAAGATCCCAAAGAATTGTCACACACATTATAGGTTGTAGATCTGATTCCCATGTAGTCAGGGTTGGCCCTTGAACTCATTAGCTAGCTGAGGATGACCTTAAATTCCTGATCTTCCTGCCTCCACCCTACTCCCTGCCCGTACTGAGATAATCCCAAACTAAGTATTTCATATACTCATATAAAGAGTATAAAGTGTCCCAGGCTGGCCATGAACTCACAATGTGAGCCGTCTGAGTGCTAGCACTCCAGTCAGGTGCTAGGATTCCAGACCGCAGCACTGTGCATGCTAGGCAAGCACTCTCTGACATTCTACATCCCAACTCTAACTGTAGCTGCAGAAACACAGGGGAACCTCAGCCAGTGTAATGAATGAATTTCTACTATATATACAGAGTAGTATTGATACCATGGTAAGACATTTTTAAAGTTAATTTTGGGTACTAGTCTTAACAATTTAAATCTAACTTTGAAAAATCACACATGGAAACCTCCGTATTATGAAAGCGTTTCTTTTGTTGGTGTTCCTGCATACATCTTTATGTGTGGTGTACGCATGTGCACCTGTTCAGTTTGTAAAGGCTAGAACTTGGCACTAAGCTATCTCTACTGTTTTTTACCTTATTTTTCAAGACACAGTGTCTCATTGGACCTGAAGCTCACCATCTGGCTAGACTGGTGGTCAGTGAGGGCCCCAGGACCCGCTTGTTCCCACTCTCGGGGTTGGGATAACAGAAACATACGACTTTTTAAAGGGTGCTGGGGATCTCAACTTAGGCTCTCAGGCTGAGAAGCAAGGCCTTTCCCCAAGTGAGCCTTCTCCTTAACCCGTTTTGTTTTTTCTAATACATCTCAGCAGACTACAACAGAAAAATCAGAAACATTAATTATGAGATAAATTTAGCTAATAAAGGACATATAAATGAAATGATACTGTTGTGCTAAGTGTAGCACAGGAAAGGAAAATATTTTCAATGATGACCTGTATACCTTGTGAACATTAATAATTTTTCATGTTCCTGGGGAAATATTAAATACATGATTTTAATCAGAGGGCTGTGTGTTGTCATAGTCTGATCAAAAGTAAGAGTTTTTAAGAGGATGTATTTATGCACACAGAAAGGAAAAGCTCACCAGACGGGACAGTGCCTTTAACAAAACACGTGTGACAGTAAACGCAATACCTTGTTAACAGGAACTGGGAGCTCTGCAGAGCCTGCTGGCTGTTCTCTGTGTTGGCTGTGTTGGCGGTGGCCGTGGACTGTGTGATTGTAGTGGTGGCGCTGCTTGTGTTTGTGCGCCGGCTTGCGTTGCGAGCTGTCTCCAGTTGTTGCCGTGCTGCTTGCGCATGCTGCCGCTCAAGCTGCAGCTGCATCTGCAATTGTTGCAACTGAGAGGCGGAAGGGCCTGAAGAGTTAAGCTGTCCTCCTGCAGAACGTCTCACTCCTGATAACTGAGATAAGAGCTCTGCCAATGGAAATGCAGACAACCAATCAACTCAGGGAAGCCAAGTGCTACACACCCTTCCCGTGGAGAAAAATCAAATGCTGTGGGCAGTGGGAGTTCACGTCACACACTCAGAACGCCAGGGACCCAACACCAACATGAGCCTACACATAGCTATGCTGCTTTGGCAGAGCCTACAAGAAAATTATTAAAGTGCAGCTATACTTCTTGTTTAGATTGAAGACTCACCTACAGGCCCAGCCATAACTGAGACCTCCTAGCAGAGGCAGCACAAAAGCAGGGGCCAAGCCGACTGACTCTGCCGTGTTCCCAGCTCTGAGAGCCCGAGGGCCTGGCGCCCTGACACCAACGTCCATTCATCTCCATCATTTCATCAGAGGAAGGGCCAGGGTGAAACCCAGAGTCTGGAGCACTTCTAAGTGTGGCCTTAAACCGTGGCTTCTGCCTTCTCTCTGGTATCCCTGGCTACTGCTACTCCAGAGCACTCGGCAAGGCCAGTCCTCCCCAACTGCAGTGCTCGCATCTCATCTATCACAACTGTACTCCCTACAGCAACATCGCTCTCAAATCACGATGCTCAATCCTACTTTCCTGCCAGGAAGAGCCAACCGAGTTCCTCAGTCCTCGAGCGGAATCATGGAACTCTGAAATCTTTCCTAAAGCCTTTCTTCTGTTTTATCATACCCCTAATGCCTTAGAGAGATGAAGCAGTACGCGGACTCCTTTACATGTCAGATTCCTAAATATTTGGATAAATTTGCAGGAATGCAAGCACAGGACCAGATGCTGAAGTAAAACACACACCACACAGAACATCCTGAAGGGAGCTCCTCACCCCACCACCCTTGCTGTTAAGAATAGAACAAACTTACCAGCTATAGGATCCATGGCTTCCCTACTGCTCGGAGAGTATGAACTCTGCGAAGAAGAGAGTCCGCCAGTAGAGCTGCTAGTAAAGTGCATGTTTGATCTACGAGCACGAGGACCTCCTAACCCCCGACCAGGGTGAAACATCCTACGCACATGTCGAACACCACTCGATTCATCATAACTCAAAAGTTAAGGAAAGGATGGAGAGTTTACCAAAAGAAGAAACAACAACAACAAACAGTTACGCTCTTGCTAGCTGGGAATTCCCACATTGTAAGCAGCTCAAATAGCACCGTTAGCTTAGAATATAAAGGTCTGTTAGGTGTCCCCCCCCCCAAAAAAAAAGCCACCCAGATATAAAGCAATAGGTATTAGGCATGATTATATGCCTGTAATACTAACTCTTAGGAGGCTAAGGCAGGAAGACAGGGGAGTGTAGGGCTAGCCTGGGCTACATAGTGAGGCCAGACTAAAAAACCAGACAAATACAATCAAACGGAAAAAAGCAATGTATGAATTTTGTGTGTGTTAAAAGTCAGGAACTTTCTTCTTGGTTCTAGATCTGGAACACTGCCTGACGAAGTTAAAAGAGCTCCCTGGTTAAATATCTAAGGTGACTTAATATTGAATTTCATGTATCAATCAACAGCTCGTGAGACACCATTATCCTCTACAATGAGAAGGTTGAATCATCTAAAATCTGTAGATGCAGCTAGTTTCTATATCAGCTTTAATTTCTGTCTTCAAGTTTATTCCCAGTGCTGTTCCTAAACAGAAACTCCTTGAATTGTTGTATCATTAGACAAACAGATTTCTAGAAGCCTTACTCTTTTAGAGTTGAATGTGAGTCAAATACAAGGTCTTGTGTAATGTCAAAAATCATGAATTTAAAAAAAAAAAAAAAAAATCAGGAAGACAATCTTGTATTTCCACAAAGCAGCGACTTTACGATGCGACATCCTTGCTGGCTTCTTGGTCTTGGCTGGCAGCTCTGGTAGTTTAAGGGATGGGTGTGCATCCCTGTACAAGTCAGTTCAAGGCTCAGGGTCTCATGGGTGCTGGGGATGAGTCTGGGGTCTACAATAGGTCTACAGTAGCGTTGGTCTTACGAGGTAGCTGGGCAAGAACAGCAATTTTAGGAAGGCACCCATCAACAGTGAGGGATGACTGCTGTCTACAGGCAGACACTAGACACTGTGTTAACAAAAATCAGGGCACCATGGTTCTGGCGGTACCTGAAAACTCAGGCAGGCTTTCAGAATCTGCCACAGTAGCATTCTGTCTTTTAAAATTTGGAGAAAAACAAAACAAAAAGCATGTAAAGCACTTTTCACATTCCTGAACTTTTCAAAAATTTAATTTTCCCTTGGTAACCAAAGACATCCATACAAGGCTTACAGAATGAGTCCGGATAGTGTATGCGGGGCAGTCTTTTTTGAATGCACATTGTATCATCAGAAGCCTGAGAATGTTTAAATGAAATGCACAGTAATTCATAGGCCTAAATACTTTTAGATCACTTTATTTTTTTCCCCCATCTTTAAATAAAAAAAAAAAATAAAACAACTATATTTGGCCGGGCAGTGGTGGCACACTCCTTTAATCCCAGCACTTAGGAAGCAGAGGCAGGCGGATCTCTGTGAGTTCTGTAACACAGAGAAATCCTGTCTTAGTGGAAAAAACTATTTTTTCGGCATGAATGGGTCAGATGAGGCATCAGTTCCCCTAGAACTGGAGTTACGGACAGTTAGCTCTTGAGCATTGGTCCTGTAAGAGCAGCCAGTACCCTTGATCACATCTAAGCCTGAATTTTTTCATTCTATTAAAAAAAAAAAAAAAAAAAAAAAAAAGAGCTGGGTGTGGTGGTGGCATATACCTTCAATCTCAGTGTCTCTCAGGAAGCAGAGGTAGATGAATCTGTGTGTCTGAGGTCAGCCAATTCTACAAGGACCTTGTCTTAAAAAATCAAAACAAGCAACAACAACAAAAACCCCATCGTTCCCTTTGTGTTGCTTTTGGCGTGCTCTGCACATGGTGGTGGGGTCTCCAGGCTCTCTCCTGGCCTCTAAGCTGGCTCAGGGTTCCATTAACCTTCACCGTCCCTTAAGGAGCTGCGTCTCCAATTAGGAAACTAGGAACTGTGAGTGAGAGATGAGAGCTACAGACTGAAAAACTACAACCACTTTGTTCCCCAACAAGTTCACGCTTGGATTATGGAATATGAAGAAATGTCTGGCAGACAGGAAGGCCGAACTTTGTATTGACTTAAACTTTCATATGAATAGCACCCTAATGGATGACAGATTTAGAAAGGCAATTTATAACCTGAAAGCAGCATAATGAGTCTACAAAACAACAAAGTCACTTTTATGAAAAGGCCAAGCAAATAAAAATAACTCGGAGATTAGTTTCTTTCTCTCTGGGAATACTATTCTCAAAAACAATCAAAACCACCAGTACCACCAGCTAACCCTCGCATGCTGCCTCCTGCAAGGATATTAAATCTCTAGGGGCTCTGTGTTCAAGTGTCAGATGAGCTGCAAAGTCATCTGTGACATGATTAGGATCGCCTCCAGGTAACGCTGCACATATCGGACAAATCTGCAAGGGAAATAAAGCAAGAGGGTCAGTATAGGGTCGCTGAGAGCCACTGCCTGCGGTCACGTTCCAAATGAGCAGCCACAGGTCTGAGCGACACTGTTGTCCCTCAGCTGCAGTGCCATGTCTCAGGGTCACAACACAGTTCAGATCCAGCCCCTGGCAGTGACTTCCATCAGTAGGGCGGACCCACAGTCTCATGGTCCAGCCAAACAAACAGCTGCTGTTCAAACTTTAAAAATAAACATTTTTACCTAAATTCAGCCTTGAGTGGAAATATCAGGTGTAAGTTAAGGTACACTTCTCCAAAGCAAGGCAGTCTTGAGGGTCAATCCTCAACTAGGACAGCAAATGCTTGACTAAAATGTAGCTGTGGGCTGGGGAGACAGAGATGGAAGGATCTTTGAGGCTCCCCGAATAGCTAATCTAGTCTTTCCAGCCAGTTCCAGGCCAGTGAGTGATGCTGTCTTAAATGAAGACAGAACGGGAGCTGTGTAATAGCTACAGTGCGTATAGAGTAAGATGGACAACGGGATTATGCACAAATGTACACAGCAATTTCCGAAACAAGTTCAAGGCAAAAGAGGGAAAAAAGAAGTTTGTCCTAGAACCTCATTTCCCAGAGTGTGTGGAAGTCTGTGAGCAGGCCAAGTTCAAGGAGTAACGTCCTCATTTGTCTCATGGTAAGAGACAGCTACAAGCAAGAATACAGCAATGTGTACATAGGTAGAGGAGATGATGGCTGGGAAGGAACCTCCCTCCCCCGAAGCTCGAGGACCATTTTATTGGTTTGAGAGAGAAATCACAGGGCAGGTGAGCAGGTGAGCTCGGCAGCAGTGAAGACAGGGACAATGGAGGAGGGAGGGAGAGGGTGTGCCTTTAGTCAGGGTCTGGGAAAGCAGTGTGTTCAGCAGGTGCAGTCAGTGAGCAGCTGCCAGCGGAAGGTGCTAGGGTTTTGGCCAGAGTGATAGACAGGAGTGGCTGTGTGCTTTGGGGCTAGAACTGGGTGGGTGGGGTGGGGGTGGGGAATCAGGGTCAGCAGTTGAGAATCTGAAACCAATTGCTGGGATGGCTTTATCACAGTTAGTGAATAGGGAGAAGGTTGTTGTCTTCCAGTTTTCGGTCCCTGAAATAGGAAAAGTCTCCAAGTCTGATATAGAGGGAGACCAAGGAACACAGCTAAAAGTTGAGGTGTGTGCCTCTGCTTGTCTGTCAATCACCTTACTAGCAGACACCAAATGTAGTCTCGGGCCATCGGTGACTGTACAGCTTGCTCACAGTGGCACAGGAGGAGGAAACTAGGAAGATGAAACAGAAGTCAACGCTGGGACATGGAGCAGATCAGCCAACCTTACTCCCAGGGCCCAAGCAAACACAACATCCACCTCTGTGACCTGAGAGCCAAAGCCCTGAGAGTTTGACTGACTCGACAACCAGTCTCTAACAGCCAGCTGGCTGTCCTGATTATGACTGGAGCCTGAAAAATAACTAAGACAATCCAAAGATGCTCACAGGAAAAAGCAAGGAAGCAGATGACCCACAAAAAGAACTAGAAAGGCCAGGATGGAATGCGCCCAAGGGGAAGTGAGAGAAGCCAGCAGACTCTAGTCCTTGCAAAGGTCAGGCAGGGTTTTTTCTCTTCAAGAGAAAAGCCGTGGTATCTGCTCTCAAGTTTACGAACTATGAAGTCTTCACTAGAAATCCGGGCCCTGTGTTCTGACGCCCTGGCTTCAGACAGCCAATGGGAACAGATGCTTGGCCATCTTTTACGCTGTGCACTTTACACTAAGCAAACGTCTACACATGCCCGAGGCCTTCGGGTCAGGCAGGGCTGCATTTTCTGAGTAAGGAGGAAACAAGAGGAAGAAAGGAAAGCCCCAAGCAAAATAAGGCAAGAGAGAGAGAGAGAGAGAGAGAGAGAGAGAGGGGGGGGGCAGAATGGAGGGGGGCCCACAAACACCGCTTGTTTTGAATGGGCCTTCTCCATTATGGTGCTTAATTCCTTCGCAATTTGGGGAAATTCTACACAAAGGAGAAGCCATTCACTCTAGAACGTGACGCCTGTCAACACGAATATTTATCATGCTTCCATCGCCACATAGCGCCATATTCATACATGAAAATTCCGTAACACATTAGTTTAAAATTATAACAGCTTGTCAACAAAAGGCTTACTAAACTGGCTTAAGTCGGTGTTTTTTAAATTTGGCTAAGAATGTAAATCACCCGAAGTACTTGTTAAGAATGCTTTTCCTCTTAGGCCTTTGAGAAACACTGGAAAGGTGCAGACCTGTATTTCTGAACAAGAATCGCAGGCCTTACGGCTGGGTAAGTTCGGCAAACACAGCTGAAACAGACAGAAGCATTTAAACTTCTATCCCCGTTAAATAAAAAGCCAGCAATACCCTCATCACAAACAAACGCCCTTGCTGTTCTTTCGGCCCCTGCTAGTGTTTGGGTTATTCTCTTCAGGTCCGTCTGTCACTGATCTTGTCCGTCCGTCTGCCCTGCTTTTATCTTCAGCCTTCCAGAGCCTTTACCAAATGTGGCCAGGCCTCCCAAAGACTGCTGCTTCTTGTGGTCTCTGCAATGATTACCAGCAAGAACGCACGCTGTTACCAAAGCACCTTTTGACGTCATCATCCCACATGCAGACTGTGTGTCACTCCTGAATGTAGCAGACACCCTCCCCGCAACAGGCTACCCACCCACTGGAAGATACCTAAAGTAGGGTAGGGACCTGAGAAGTCGGCCTTGCCAATCACAGGACCTGAGTTTAATCCCAAGAAGCCATACTGAGTATGGTGGTGCACGCTTGTAATTCTAGTGCTGGGGAGGTGGAGACAGCTGGATTTTTGTGGCTCACTGGTTACTTAGCACCTATGAGTTCCAGGTGCAAGAAACTAGTCTCAAAAAGAAGAAAAAAGAAGAGATGGATCTCCAAGGAGCAAGAGGCAGCTCCCGTACAGGCGGCCAGCAACATTCCTGCTTTAAACAGGAGCTTCACATGTTTCTCCCCTACATTTAATCTCAAGCAGGTTCAGATTTCCTCTGGTTTCTTTCTTCTAGCAAACACAACCCCATCAGCCTGTTTTTACTGAGTATTGTGCATAGCATGACAACAATAGCAGAGGCTCAGTTCCATCATGTAATGTGTTTCTCTCAGCCTTCATAAGGAATTTCTTCAAGAGCTTGATGGCACACACCTTTATTTCCAGCACTCGGGAGGGGGAGGGGGGTGGCGGCAGGTGGCTGTTACATGGAGAAACCCTGTCTGGAAAACCAAAACAGGGAGAGAGAGAGAGAGAGAGAGGGAGGGAGGAAGGGAGGGAGGGAGTGAGTTCATGGCTACAGAAAATCCATGGAAAACATTGCCCATCTGGGGCCGGTGAGATAGGGCAGCAGATAAGGTATTTGCTGAATGAGTCTGGCCAACTGAGCTGGATCCCCAGAACAAACGAGAAACGGGAGAACCAACTCCACACATCAAACCATGGCCCACCCTCCCCCCATATCATACACAGAACGTTTTCAAACTGTCAGTTTGACCTCACATGACCGTGGCTCTTTGAGAAGTAGGCTGTGGCAGGGTGGGGAGATGAGCATACTCTGGGAGCTGGGCAGTTCTGCTCCCTGTGAGGAGGCAGGTGGCCTCTTACCATCCTCAGACTACTGAAAATGGCCTCTGAACCGGGACTCTGGAAACTACTGCTTCTTTTTTGGTGCTGGTGATGGAACCCAGGACTTGGTACTTGGGAACCACTTAGTGAGCCCCAGCTGCAGACGCCATCCCTCTTGTTAACAGAAGCTCCAGCAACGGCCATCTCTTGGGAAAGTACCACAGATGAACTCCATACATCAACTCCCCTGAAACTTAAGCTTAGAGCCATGGAAAACTTTGCCCTTCTAAGAATGTCCAAAAGAGCATCACTTCTCAACATCCTTGCTTTCTTCTGTTACTTTCTTCTGCCACTGTGTGTTTGGTGCACACCCTTTCTCTGACAGCTGCCAACTTGTAAGGAACTACTTTCTGGGACACTTTCTATGTTTCACATCATCCATATAATCATGGCTAGGTCTGTCATACTTAGAAGAAACACAAGGTCACACAGACAGTACGTACCATTCTTGTTTCTCAGCACGAGTATCATGACATAAAAATAGAGATGTCATTTTCCTGTAGAGGAGCTGAAATGTCCCCATCAAACCAGGAGCCGTGACAGCTTCCTGGTTGTGAACGTTCTGCTATCCTCACGGTAGGGTCCGATCCTATTTCCTAGTGCCACGCGATGGATGGACCACTGCTTGCTATTTTCTTCTCAACACTGCACCTTGGCTGTGCCTGAATTACAGTCTCCTGGTTCTGCTCTCTTCAGTCACACCAGCTTTCCAAGGGCCCCTACGTCAAAAGCTCCCCTGACTGCTTCCTTCACTGCTCTCCCACCGAGTCAAATAAGCTAGAGTTTATGTTTGCAGAGATCAAATCCAAAGACACGAAAAAACAGGCTATAGACAACAGGGCTATAGCAATCTGTGTGTTCTTTATTGTGTCTTTTTAAAAAATAAATTACTTAAATTTATTTTATGTGCATTTGTGTGACATGGAGTCACAGACAGTTGTGAGCCTCCATGTGGGTATTGGGAGCTGGAAGAACAGCTGTGTTTTTAACCGCTGGGCCATCTCTCCAGGCCCGTCTTTTTTTTTTTTTTTTTTTTTTTTTTTTTTTTAGGCTGTTATTTGCATGTATGCTTGTGTACCTACACATAAGCTCACGCAGGCACACATGTGCAGGCACCCTCACAGTCATCCACTGGAGCGCTCACCATGTACTGAGCCCCACATTATGACATCTATGTACATCAAAGCTAGGTGTTAACTCTGCTGTCATGAAGAGCCATTATACTTAACTCCAAGAGTTCTCTAGCCTCAACAAATTAACACTTAAATACATTAAATATAATGCTTGAACCAGGCATCATGGTGCAGACCTTTAACAGCGGCACACGGAAGGAGGCAAAGGCAGGTAGATCTCTGTAAGTTCAAGGCTAGCCTAGTCTACACAGTGAGTTTTAGGCTAGCTCAACTTGCCTCAAAACAAACAAACAACCCCTCAGAAAACAAAACCACACACACACTGCTTGAAAAGACACTCAGAAGCTATGAACATTTTGTCTTGTATTTAAGAACGGTGATAATAATAGCCCTAGGAATTAGCTATGCAGTGTCTCGTCTATCATCTTTTGTAAACAAGCTTTGCTGGACGTCACCTGCAATTCCAACACTTGAGAGGTAGTGCTGGAGGATCAGAAGTTCAAGGCTAGTCTTGGCTATAGGAAATTAAAAAAAAAAAAAAAAAAAAAAAAAAAAAAAAACCAAGGCCTGGAGAGATGGCTCAGAGTTTAGGAGCACTGGCTACTTTTCCAGAGGTCCTGAGTTCAATTCTCAGCAACCACACAGTGGCTCACAACCATCTATGATGAGATCTGGTATCCTCTTCTGTCATGCAGGCAGAACACTGTATACATAATAAATAAAAAAGGGTGCTTTGAACCCCCCCCCTAAAAAAACAAAAACAAACCCAAATAAAAAAGGTAGCATGTACTTATACACTTATCTGAGATTGGGTCTCACCGTGTAGCAGCTCAGGTGGGCTAGGAACTTGATCCTTCCACCTAAACCTCCCAAGTACTGACCCACCCCGCCCTCTTTTATAGCCAGCAACTCAGTTTCAAATACCTCAGGCTCCCATATTTGCTACTCTCAGCTCTGACTCTCCAGTGTTTCTCTATGTTCAGGCCAGCGCCTTCAAAACTCACTGCCTGTTAATTTGGGAAGGTCTAATTATAATGTTAATCAAGTCTGAATGCACTTTTCTAAGCCAGGGTTACTCTGGCTGCCCTGGAACTGACATGGTAGGCTGGCTGGCCTTGAACTCCAGGAGATCCGCCTGCCCCTGCTTCTGATTGTTGGGATTTAAGTGTACCATCAATTCCGGCCTTGGGATGCTTTTAAAAGGGTGTTCACTAGAGGAATAATAGTTTTTTTTATGCAAAATTAAGACACAGGGGCTGGAATGATGGCTCAGCAGTTGAGTGTCCTTACTGCTCTTGCAGAGGACCCAGATTTGGTTCCCAGCACTCGTGTAGGGTGGGGCCCACAACTGCCTCTAACACAATTCCAGGAGAAACAACACCCTCTGTCCTCTGACACAAAGTCATACAGGCACACACACAAACAAATGAAACTAAAAATTAAGACACAATAAAGAGCCCACACACTGCTATAGTCTGCTCTCTTAGAGAAAATGCCTATATCCTTTTATTCCTTCGTGAATTTGATCTCCCCGTCCTAAATGTAACCTCAAGCTGAAACCCTTTCTACACTGTTGATCCCGCAATGAGTTTGGAGGCTAAGTTTCAAGGTGTTTTCTTAATAGCTCGTGACTAGAGAGCTTATCATGCACTGAGCCTAAAACTGGGTGTTTACCAAAAATACTTGTTTTTGAAAAGCTAGGACAATTTTTCCATGTATGTACGTAGCCTATACAAACTGAAACTAAAAAGACTTGAGTCTTGTGAACGTGGCTTCAACTATGGCAAGCGCAATATCCCTTCCACTACAGTGTGTAATGGTCTCCACAACTCTAGTCAAAGAACACATGCTGTGAGAGCCGGTGTTGGCAAAGGTAGTCAAAGTGCCGTTTCCATTTGTTAGATACCATGTGTAATGACATCACAAAGATTAGCCAATTCATCAAGCACTCACTGACTGCTTAGGCTAAATTCACACTTTATAAGCACAGGACCAGGCATGGTGGCACATGCCTTAAATCCTAGGACTTGGCTGGCAGGCAGACACAGGCAGATCTCTATGAGTTCAAGACCAGTCTGATCTACAGACTGAGACCCAATCTTAAAAAGAGAGAGAAAGAAAACAATCAAACCAAAACAACATCAGCAAAGCAAAGCCCTCGCTGTAGAGTAACTCCCATCACTGGACAGTGGCACACGCCTTTAATTCCAGGCACTTGAGAAGTGGAGGCAGGCAGATCTCTACGAGTTGAGGTCAGCCTGGTCTACAGAACGAGTTCCAGGACAGCCAGGGCTGCACAGAAATCTTGTCTCAAAAACAACAAAAACCTCCCATCTTTTTGCAAGGTAAATTGTTTTTTTTTTTTTTTAAAAACCTCCCTTAATAAAATAAGTTTTTTTAAAAATTAATTATTTGATTTATTTAATATGTATGTACACATGTATGCTAGGAGGTAGAGATCAAGTTGTGTGTGTTCTTTTTGATCTTCCCTACCAGAGTCTCGGGGATCACACTCAGGTGGCATGCGCAGTTAATGCTGGAATAAAAGCAAAACAAAAGACTTGGGCAGTTAGAAAAAGTAATTACTAAAGAAATTACTAGCCATAAAAATGAAGATTTACTTTTGAAATTCATGATTCAATTTAAAAATATCTGGTTTGGGGCTCAGTGGGTCATGGCACTTGCTGCGAAGCCTAAAGACCTGAGCTCAGTACAATAGGCAGAGCACACACAACAACAGAGGGAACCAGCCCCTATCCTTCCCTAAAATCAAATAAGGCCACACGTGTGAGGTAGTGCTAGTAGTGCTCCACGGCCACACACGAGGGCCCTGGCGTGACAAGACCCTCGTGACCCTGTACCTACACAGCACAAGTCCCTGTCCACTGTCATCTTTCATTTTGAAGTGTCTGAGGCTTGGCTATGGCAGTGAAATTAGATACTCTGTAAAAACTAAGGGCTAAGGAAGGAGAGACCCTTAAAATATAGTGCACAAAACAAATGTCCCAGACTAGAGAGGTGAGGGCTACCTGAATACCTGGGAATGTAACACGGCAAATGATTAAATAAACCCACACACAAAAGGGCTGAAAACAAAACCGTAATGGCGCAGTTTTTCACACCGTCTGTAGTGAGATAGTCACCTTGTCCGCACCTGTGGCACAGACCATGCCCATAGGGGGTGGAGACAGGGCCGGACGTGACCTGGGGGAACTAAGGCTGAGGAGGGGGCTCGGAGAGCTCTCTTGCTTGCAGCACGGGGGCAGGAGCACATCCCGAGGCATCCTTGGGACCAGGAACCTGCTGGTGTTCATCTGCCTATGTTGTGAGTTACTTCTCCCTGAACAAACATCTATCCGGCCTATTTGTTTCTCCTGATCCTTATTAAACATCGATAACCGTCTACCAGAATGGAGGAAAGTAAACAACTCTGAATAGCTGCTCTTCAGACAAAGAACACAGGCAAGACTACTCTGCCTTGATTTTTCATTTATGGAGATGAGAAAGGACTTGTGTTTCCACTGCATGGTCTGATTCTGCGTGTGGAAAGCTGTGTACTTACACTGCCCACTGAGTAATGAAAATACACTAGGGTCTGGTGGCTTGAAAGGGCCTTACGACATCTAGTTTTCTATAAGGAACTCAGCACAGCTAGTTAAATAGAAAGACCCAAACTCAACAGCAAAACAGAAAAACCACCACAAATTACCCTCAGCAGTTAGGATGGGGACAGACTGAGTCAGGTCAGGACTTCCTGATGTGACTGGGAGGGCAAGAGGAAGCAAACTAATGGGCAAGAGCAGGACCAACCAGAACACACACTGTGACTACAGTGCTCTGGGGTTTCCCTTGCTGTATTCCCAAGTGATTTTGGTTTAAGGACCAGATGTGAAGTTAGTCAAACCTTGAACTCCAAATCTTATGGAAAATTTGAAGCACAAACTGGCAGTGTCCATGGGAACGAAGGGAAGCCTGTACCAGAGGCCTCTGGCCAAGTTTAAATACCTGCGTGTCCTTGAGTGCACTACTTTTTTCTGAATTTTATCTGTTGAGTTCATCTAGAGAATGATGTATATGCAAATCCCCCCAAATCAGGATCTACAGCCGCACGGGCTTCCCTTTATCTACTGTTACCAGCTGCAAGAAGGGAGACCGAAGATTCAGATGTACCCATGCCCTTCCCTCCTCGTCTCTTCCCTTCCTTTTGTCCCCTTGCCAACCTCCTCCAGACGTTCTTCCCTGAAAGCAGTACCCTGACCCAGCCCCACTTCTGCAGTGACTCAGACTGGGGTTAAAAACCAGTCTAGAAGGTTTTCAAGTTAACATGTCATATTTTACTCTATGCCTTTTTGCTTTTAGTCACTGCGGAAACCAATCAGGAAGGAAGAACTAGGAACTACTGATTTTCACTTGGAAACGACATAGGATCTGAAGACAACGAGGGAAGGCCAGGGTTGCAGAATCCAGGACTGCAGGAGCTCTGCTTTGCACACCACCAAAGATTTACAGTTTCCCCGAGAAAAATTCCTTACGTAAAGAGCAACAACAACTTTAAAGACATATGGAAGAACGCTGACTGGGTCCTTTCAACCTTCTGTTGCTTTTGACATGGTGTCCCTGCGTGTATCTTGAAAAAATGCAGCATCCTGGAGACCTACAATTTGCAGCTGAAGATAATTTTTATCATTACACATGAAGTTCATTGTTCTAAGCAAGAGGCGGACCACAGTGCCCAGAGTCGGGGTAACATGTTACATCGTTTTAGCAGGACGCTCCACCTACCACTTCTGTTGATGTTTCTGCGTGTTCAGAAGTAACATGGTCTTGAAGAGATGTTTCCGTGTAGCCCATTTTTCCACAATAGGGACAAGTAAAGGACTGTGGCTGCTCTACAGAGAAAGCTTCCCCACCATAGTACAAATCTGAAAAACAAAAATGGAACGGAACTGAGAAATACCCATGCTTCTTCTCAAATATACAAATACAATCACCGTACACTAAAGCGTGAAGGGAAAGGTGTGGCCAGAAATGCCAATAAGTGAGGGGTTTGTTTGTTTTGTTTTGTTTTTTTAATTAATGTTTGAGACAGGATCTCACGATGTAACCCTGGAACTCACCAATCTGCCTGCTCTGCTGGGATTAAAGGAGTATAGATTAGGAGTTAAAAAATAAACAAACAAAAACAACAACAAAGAATATAGGAGCTTCAAATAACTCTGTCAACATTTATAAAACCTTTAATTCCAGGTGGGATTCAGCATACTCTTCTAAAATCTTCTCTCCAGAAAGCAGGTAAGAAAAAAACAAAGCAAACAATTTTCCCTTCACTTATAGTTTTCAGGGTTTCCCAAAAGCCCACGGATAAGAGTTTTGCTTCCCAGTCTGTTGTGCTACTAGGAATTAGCAGAACCTTAAAGATAGGCCAAGTTTAAAAAATAAGGAAAGAAAAGATTAAGTCACTGGGAGTGTGCCCTGAGAGCCCTCTGCCATCTGTCCCTGCTGTATCAGATTATGCCACCGTTTCCCAAAGCCACACACAGTCAGACAAACCAGGGTTAAAACCTCAGAAGTCAGGAACTGGAGCAGCTCTTTCAAACTGATCGTCCAGGTATTTTGTCACCGGTGGGAAGCAGTCTCTCACCCTGCCCTCTGTACACATTTACTTCACATCTGGATCTAATCTGAGTTTTTTACTGTATGTTTTCCTTCCTCCCTCCCTGATAGTTTCTCTGTGTGGCCTTAGCTGTCCTGGCACTTGCTCTGCAGACCAGGCTGGCCTTAAACTCAGAGATCCGCCTGCCTCTGCCTCCCGAGTGCTGGGATTGAGGACATGCACCACTCATACCTAGCTTCCTTATTCCTTTATGTCCATGGTAACACTAATATCCAAAGAAAGAGTCAGAAAGGTGTGCCATGAACAAGGACGTAAGAGCTTAGGGAAGAAAAGGTGACCCTGACCAATACGTAAACTGTTAGCTCCACTATCCACTCTCAAAGTAGGAAGCATCCGGGGCTCCGGCTCTTATGGATGCCAGCTTGTGTGTAAGCACAATCCATGGCCCAAGCAATTCTCTGAAGAATGAACCGGAGAGTCTGTGCAAATAATCTATCTGCATCATTACAAGGAGTAAGTCTGTTTTCCACAAGTAACAGCATCTTTCGTAGGTTATGCTACTTTATTACAAAGTAATTTAAAATGGGGGAAAACAAAGTGTGTGTGGGGGGGATTAAGAGATTTAAACTTAAAAAATATCACTCATATGTGTGTGTGTACACGTGTGTGTGCCTGCGCCCACATAAGACTTACAAGGTAGATTTGATGCAGATGAGGATTGAAAAGAAAAGAAGGAATGGATGGTGGTGTGTGCCTGAAGTCTCAGCACCTGGGAGACAGGTCTCAGACAGGCAGGAGAATCATGAGTTGAAGGACAGTGTAGGTCAAAGCAAGTCCAGGCAACTTAAGCTAAATAGAGAGAGAGACCCTGTTGCAAAAACAAACTACCCAGCAGCAAAACAAAACTCCAACAAACAATAATAAAACCCAAAAATAATTTATTTACCCAATAAACAGCAAACCCAAAACCATGACATCTCTGGAAGACTAAATGCCTTTTTCCTAAGATGAGGGACAGGATAATGTCTTCATTCTTTCAACTTCTATTCAGTATTTCCCTTGATGCTCTAACTGCAGTAAATGAAAGGCATCCAATGGAAAGGAAAAAACCCCAAGATCCTAAGAATTCACTACGTTAGAACTAATTTTAAATTATTAAAACTAATAAGCCAATCTAGCAACATAGAAAGCTACACAATTTATATATAAAACTGTTTTTCTATAACATTTACAAATAATCCAAAGATAAAAAAGTTTCATTTACAAAAGCCAAAGAATACTTAGAAATATATTTAACAAAATACAATTTATTCTGATAACTATATAAAGATATGAAAACCCTAAAATAAAGATATTTGATGTTCACAGATCAGATTTAGTACCAAAATAGCAATACTCCACACAAATCTATATAAGCTCAACATAACCACTATCAAAATCCAGTTGGTTTCTTTGAAAAACTCAGAGAACTCAGGCGACCCAGAATGCTTAAAACAAGTCTGAATAGGAATAAAGTGAAAGACTTAGAAATTTCAAACCTTTCTACAAAGCTTTGGAAATACAAACATTATAAAACCGTCATGAGGAGAGACAGAGACACAGATCAATTGAAAGACCAAGTCCAAGCCACGCCTTTAATCCCATCACTTGGGAGGCAGAGGCAGGCGGATCTCTGTGAGTTCTAGGCCAGCGTGGTGGGTCCACAGAGCAAGTTCCAGGACAGGCTCCAAAGCTACAGAGAATCCCTGTTTGGAAAAACCAAAACCAACCAAACAAATAAATAAATAAGAGCCAAATAAGCCCTTGCTATGGTCAACTAATTCTGAACAGAAGAAAGCTAATTGATAATGGATAGTTCAATGATCCCAGAAAACTGGAACCCCTTTATAAAATGGAACACACTCTACCTCAACTACAAGGGGGAAAAAAAAAAAAAAAACCACACACAAAAACTAATCCTAATCTCAGCACTCAGAAGGCTTGTGAGCCGAGGCCAATCTGGCTGCAAGTAAGACCCCATTTAAAAAAAGGTCTAAATGCCAGCACAACTGAAACCCTCAGGAGATATATTCCCCGGTGACCTTAGAGTGGCTATGGGACCTAGGTGACACCCAAACACAAAGCAAGAACAAACCCCTGTACTTCAAAAATACAGCATCCACAAAGCGAGAAGACAACAGAATGGGAGGGAGTTTTCCCAAATCATCCATCACCCATCTTACAAGGAACACAAATATAAGGTAGGTGTGTGTGTGTGTGTACATCTAACATGTATGATATACGTGTATCTAACACACACACACACATGCGCGCGCGTGCACGGCTAATGAACATAAGAAAAAATGCTTAGCTATCAAACTATCAGAGCCCTGCAAATCAAAACCACTTGAGATACCACCTGATGCCCATCAGGAAGCTATAATCAGAAAGACAGTAACAAGTGTGTTGGCTAGCTAAAAATCAGTGAGAACCGGACAGCTTTTCCTCCTGACTGATAACCAACTCCCAATAACACTTGCGTGCCATTAGCGCCAGCAGCCAGCCTCATTTCATTGCCTGTTTCCAGAGGCACTATTCCTCACCAGCTGTGGGGTTTTGTCAAAGGGTTTCTTAAGCAAATGATAACGAGACAGAAAGCCATAAGAAATATGATTTTATTTAGAGTGAATCTGATGGTAATGGGGATAGCTGAGGATGTTTTGCTGTTTCGTGGCTGTGCAAAGCCCTTGAGCGAGTGATAGTTTTTCATTGTGACTTACCAAAGTCTACCCTTGTTAATATGCACTGCATCGGGTGGTCAGTTGTGTGCCTGGTTGTCGTTGCCCCGCTCTCATAACAAGATGCACAAAGATCGTAATCGTAGCAAATTAAACACTTATATCTGCGACCTCGAAAATTTCCTTTTAAACATGCATCACAGCTGACACCTATAAAACAAGAGGAAACGCCTTCAATTAGCACCTAGAACATAGTGAGACCCAGCAGTCCCAGCAGCCGGGCAGCTCCTTACTCAGAAGCAAAGACAGGAGGCCGGCAGGGCTTCATCGTGAGCTAGATACTTACTGTCTGGGAGGAAGCTTCAAACATTCTAGAATGTAAACGTCCCTGTTAAAAGTGACTTGTGACCCCAGAAAAAGATGTAATCACATAACATTATAGGGTCACAGCCCAGTTTCTGCCAAATGGCTCAAGAGCACCACCAAATACCTGGCAGGTATAATTTCAAACAATACACACACAAAGAAATATCATAACCAGTCTAAGTTCATATCAGAAACAGATTATCAAACATTTAATATTAATTCTTCAGTTTTTGGTTTTCAGATACTGTATCACTATGTAGCCCAAGCTGGCCTAGAACTCATGACCCCCTGCCTCAGCCCCCTGGTGCTGATTAAAGGCATATGCTTACCCCCACCTGGCTGCCACCACAATTCTTAGCATGTTCAAAGGAAGAATAAATAAGGTGGCACTCTGGGAATCAGAGAGAGGGAAGCAGATTTTGAGATCAGCCTGGTCTACACAGTGAGTTCCAGACCATCTAGGTCTACAGAGTGAGACCCTGTCTAAAGAGGAAAGGGTCGCAGGGGAATTGAGGCACTTTAAGAGCAAACTCAGAAGTCAGCAGGCAGGCTTAATATAGAAAATGCCTTTTATTTTACATGATAAAATTGTTTGTGCAGAGAGCTCATACAAAGCTGAACTCAAAATGAAATACTAGGCCAGTGTGCCAGGTAAGAAAAGGTGCTGGGCACACCTTTAATCCCACACTTGGAAGGCAGAGGCACGTGGATCTCCAAGATCTAGCCCAGCCTGGTCTACAGAGTGAGTTTCAGACAGCCAGGGCCACACAGAGAAACCCTGCCTTGGAAAACCAAAAAAAGAAAAGGCAGCTTAACAACATAGTGGCACACTATTCTTTTTAAAAAGCAATTTATAACTCTATCTAGATTAGTCAATTCACAGAGAAAGTAGAATATTTGTTGTTAGCGCTGGTGAAAGGGGACAGAGAAATTGTCTGTATCCTGGGTAGAGTTCCAGTTTGGGATGATGGGAAAATTCTGGAGATGGATAACGGTCATGATAGCAATGTGAATGTTCTTAGGGCCACAACAAAAGGCAGGCCACTGTGTGTGTGTGTGTGTGTGTGTGTGTGTGTGTGTGTGAGAGAGAGAGAGAGAGAGAGAGAGAGAGAGAGAGAGAGAGAGAGAGAGAGAGAGAGAGAGAACGCCTATGAATAAATCTAGTCAAAGTCAGGAAGCCCTTTATGAAGCAAATTAGTAAAAATGTATTCAAGGACATTAAAGGTTGTTAGGTGCTGGGCTGGGGAGCTAGCTAAGTAAAGTTTTAACTACACACGTGTGAGGACCCCGGTCAAACTCTGGGTACAGCATCCCACACTCAGTCCCAGGATCGCTGGGATATGCTAGGCAGCCAGTAGAGGCAGCCAGCCAGTGAGCTCCACGTTCAGTGAAGGATCCTGACTCCTTCCCACTGAAATAAGGTGAGAAAGAGAATGAAGATGCCTAAAGTTTCCACATACATGTGACTAAGCACCAGCACACATGCAAACATGTATGCACACATAAATCACACACATGCACAAGAGGAAGGAGGAGGGACAGCCAAACCAGGCCACAAAACAGAAAGTCCAGTGAGAGATGCGTGTATTGCAGACCTCGAAGGCAAGGCTGGTCCAGGGCAGTGGGAGGAGGGACAGGCAACAGACAGGGGCTCAAAGTCCCAGGCTAAAGGTCACTGTGAAAAAATGTATTTTCTTCCCCCAAGAAGGCACTACAGGAGCAGAGGCTGGAAGGCAGGCAGGACAAAAAGGATTGCAAGGGGTTACCACAGCCCGGAGAGTGCAGAACCTCCTGAGCTGGAGGGAGGAAATGATCTGCTACCTCCCCATCTCTCCCACACACGGGCCAATACCACCAACCATCTTCTTCATATTCTAACACTCCAGAGTGAATGAAAGCCTCATACTACTCATGCGCAGTGTAACAGACAAAAGTTTGATATTTAGAATATGTTAGAACTCTTACCTATCAATAAAAAAGTTATTAACAGCCAGTGGAAAGTAGATTGTGGTCAATTGGCACACATGAACAACAGACCCAACCGCTGTAGGAAGAGATGCTTAAACTCATCAGTCACTAAATATGACAAAGCCATCACTAGCTATCATTGTACACCTAGCAAAAAGTTCATGCTATCAAGTGCTCGAGAGACAAGGAGCCGCAGAAGGAACTCAGACCTTACTGGTAAGTGTTTACAACAACACAACCAATTAGTCACTCGGGAGCGATACCATGACCAAGGCCACACCCCTGCCACTCCCCACAAGTCAAGAGTTTCTCTGTGTAGCCCTGACTGTCCTCGAACTCATAGAGACCCACCTGCCTCTCTCTGCCAACCTTCGGGGGCTAAAGAGGTGTGCCATCACCACCCAGCATCCAAGGCGACTCTTCTATATGGCAACACCTCCTAACCCTTCCAAGCAGTTGAGCACCTGAAGGCCCTGCTGCGAACGTGAGTTTATGGGGGCCATCCTCATTCAAGCTATACTTCCCTTAAGCTGCTGTCAGGTATTTTACCACAGTGACTTACATGCCACGCAATATATTCAAGGTACTACAAGCACAAACAGTGAAAAAATCTGTCCTGCCTCTGTGGAGCTAGGCAGTGAGTGTGACTCAACCCTTCATAGACAAATGTGCACACACACTTGTACACACAGACACACACGTACACACACATACACTCACACACACACGCGCGCGTGCGCACACAGACACACACACACCACCCCCATACTTTTTAAAATAAAAAGAGAAACATGCAGTCCTCTGAAGAGGACCTGAGATAAACAGGAAGCAAATTACAGTAGCTTTGCAATTAGCAAAAGTTGGGTCATTCTGCTAAATGAAGAAGGAAACTAAGACACATTTTAACGTTTCACAGTGCTTACATGCTGAGAGTCTAAGATAGTAGTGGAAAGCTTCCCTATTCTACTCAAGGAATCAGGGGAAATAAAAAATGTAATAAAAATATTTCAGGGGTCTATTTTTGAAAATACTAACTTATGTGTGTGCATCAAGGAGCTGCAGGAAATGGGAAGCCCAGAGGCTGGCTCTGCGAGTGGCTATTACATCACATCTGCTTCTTGAGAAAGCAACTCTGTAGGGCAGCATCAGAGAAGAGATGGGGATGGGGTGGGGTGGAGAAGAACAGGAGGGGCGGTGGGCGTGACTACAGTACACTGTGTACAAACATTCTGGCTCACAATCCTGCCTCAGCCTCTGGAACAGCTGGGATTAAAGGCCTATTCCATCAGCCCAGGTAAGAATTCCTTTCCTTCAGGGAGGTCCTTACACGTAAGTCTTTCCACAGGGTGATGGGCACCTTCTGTCAGTTCAAACAGGGCAGGGTTTCTCAGCGTTTGCAAACTGGTGTCTACTACACCCTCTCAAAGCTTTCTCATCTGGTCTCACCCCTTCAAATCCGCAGAGAAACAACATGATTTCCAAATACAGAACCTTTCTAATTCTGTCTTCTCAAACACAAAAAGAACTCTGTAAGGACCTGCTCAGCATGGGAATAACCTATGGTACATGACACTAACATACAGCTGAATTCTGACTACTGCAGCAGACCCTGGAGTGCTGGGCAAAGGATCTAAGGTGATGAGTGAGGATTTTGTGAAAGTAAGGTCTAGAATGGTCTCTGGAAGTTACCTTGCTCCTTTTAAAATTCTTAAATTTAGTAATGGAATTGGGACAAAAATAATTTCACAAGGGTAGCGGGGTGTTGGTGGTGCACGCCTTTTACCCCAGCACTCAGGAGACAGAGGCAGGTGGATCTCTGAGTTTGAGGCCAGCCTGGTCTACAGAGTGAGTTCCTGGACAGTCTCCAAAGCAACACAGAGAAACCCTGTCTAGAAAAGTCCAAAACCAAAACAAACAAATAATGGAGGAAACTGACGTTAGACCAGGAATTCCAGAGTGGAAACAGAAAATAACCAATAGAACAATTCAAGCAATCTTTCCAGAAGAGAGAACATGGACTGTTAAACAGAAAGTGCCCCTTTGAGCTGGAGAGGTGGTTAAGAGTGCTGGCTTCTCTTCTCCAGGACCCATCTCAGGCAGCTCACAACACTCTCTTGTGGTCTTCAACAGCATCTACACACACACACACACTCATGAATAAAAAGAAAATCTTAAGAGAAAGAAAGGCATCCACCGAGCATTCAATCCCATCAATAAAAGAGACATTCTACCAGCTTCCGAGAAAGAGAGAGGAAACAGAGTAAAGGGCTCACACACAGATCACGAACCCTAGCTGAGCACGGTGGAGCATGCCTACAGACCCTGTGTCCAGGAGGCTGAGACAGGAGGGGCATGAGCATCGGGCCAGCTTGCAACACACACCAAGACCTTGTCTCAACAAAACAAAGCAACAACACACAAACAAGTCTGGCATTTCCAACATGGCCACTAGACACTAAAAGGTAATGGACACTGATGCCAAGACTCCAAATTAAAGCTGTCCATCTACAAAGTAGACTTGTGTAAATCTGAGAAATATTTTCTTCAGAACTACAGTGCTGTAGGAGGCAGAAACCATTAGATCCCATCTGAAGGAGAAATGAAAATCATCAGGGAGACAGAATGGCAGGTGACAGCCACACATGAGGTGGCAGTCCCACTCTGGAGCAGATGCAAGGCAGTTTAACTCAGAGGGCTGGAGGATGGATGTGCCCAGCACATGAGGCCCTACCCTCAGTCCCCAGCACCAGGAAACAGGCAAGAAGACAGAAAGCCAAGTCTGGCCACCAGTGCCGGTGCTCACCACCCACACCCTGAGACCATGGCATTGTAATACTGGTTACTGAGGTGTAGCACACAACAGACATGAATCAGAA